AATAAATATGACAGAAAAATGATTCATTGCGTATAGTGCAGCTAAGCATTACTTTTCAGTCATAGGTTAATTAATTTCAGCTTNTTTTTTTTTTTTTTTTTTTTTTTTTTTTTTTTTTTTTTTTTGTTTTTTTTTTCTCTTGGTTGCATTTTGTCTCGTGCGATTTTCTACTCATGAGCACCCATTGTTGTCAAGTATCAAAAGTACCGTCGACACAGGGTTAATTTCTAAGTGAAAAAACCTATACAGGTAGTATAGGGAAAAACCAGTTTTCGCAAACGTGTTTTTCATTACCTGCCCTCGTAACACAACCGAACTTTCGCAACAATCGGCTAAAAATCGAGCACCGCGCGCTCTAGTGATATTTCACTTTGCCTTGAACTTTTTCCGAAAGATTACATCTTTCACACAAGTATATGTATACATCGTATACAAATGAGGTGAACGAAGAGGGAACCGGTTGGATTGAGTTCCGTCCACGCACGAGGAGAATAAGGGAGAAATGTATATACCTATATACCAACGATTACGCGAGAGATCGGTTGGATTTCGTAGCCATTCGAAGACACTTTTCCGCGTAACGTGTTTTGCGTGCATTATGATACAAGTGTATGTAAGTACATACAAGGAGTTCGATGCAATTTATAGTATTTTAATCAGAATCCACTTTGAAACTCGTTATGACGTATTTAAGTATAGGTACGTCGATAAGGCAAATTTTCGCATCTTTATTCCTTGCTGTTGCAACGAGGTCGGCTTTGATCTTTTTAACTCCACGTGTACTCGAAAAAAATAAAAATAAATATAAATAACCCACACTGCGTTTCTTTGATTTTTTCCTGACTAATACGATCACCACGCGATCGATCGCTCGTTACAAGCTCATCAACGTCACTCCAGTGTCCCGAGTCCACTGCATAGCTATATATCTCCTGTCAACTTGTCAGCGTCCATCCTCGGATTCTCGAGTCGTGTTTATTGCACGTTATATTCATGACGCACTTATCTGTACGGCAATTAACCGTGTGATCAAAAGTTGATTCGTGTTTGAACATTATAGGCATATGCATACGTTGACTTTCACGCCGGAATTGATGTTTTTTTTTTTGTTTTTTTTTTTTTCATCCTCAAGTATTCATACGTAGATAAATTGAGGAAGTGATTTTGCCGGGTGACGAATTGCAGTCGTGCGTATGTACACGTATATCTATAGCGAGTCTGACTTTCACTGGGACTGACCCCATTATTCGGATGTGCACACTTATTGCCAACGACAAACCTCTTTGATAAGACATTATAAATTATCTTTGGATTAATAAAAATACACAATTATTCTCTTGGAGCAGCTATGCTTCAACCACATGGTACCATCCCACCAGGATACATATATATATTTATATATATATACGTATCATTGGCGTTACTCATAAAGTTACATCGGTAAACTTACCGGACTAATGGTGGCGACGGTGAAACGCTAATGAATATGCTGGCGCGAGGGCGTCGCTACGACGGCACGTTACTCGCGTTGCTCACGCATGCGGATAATTTTGTTACGACTCAAACGGCTAATTGCGAGCTCCCTGCGAAACTTTGTTTCTTTTTGCGCCCCAACTATTTCGTTGGGGACGGCATGGAGAGATACTTTTTCCAGATTGCCAAGGTTTGATGATGCTTTTTTTTTCGGAACATAACCGATCGAATGAAATCGTCTCCTTCAGCCACGCACTACCCACTTCTTCTTGTCGAACTCCGTTGGAAAAGGAATTCCGTTGAAAATGTAAATCGAATCCTTGGATCCACAAACCGGCAAAGTCGACGACCCGACCGTGAGTCACACTGTGAAACGAAAAAGGCAAAACGCGCGTCTGTACAATCCACACGCAAATCCTTGTAATTACGCCCGAGCGAGAAACCGTTGCGCGCGTCAATCGCCGATCGCCCACGCGCATCTTTGATAATATATTGTACCGGGCGCGCTTGTACGGGACACGCCGTATCTCATTTTGCCCACCTATGCTCGATGTACGGTCCGATCTGAGATTTGCAAAAAGAAAAAAAAAGGAAATAATGTCGAGTTGATTGAACTCGAAGCCAGATTTCTGTAACAGCTACGCGGAATCGTACACAGGCGTTGGCTGTCCGTGATTTTCATGCAATCACCATCATTAACCAAAGCTATGAAATGTAAAAAGACTCGACTGCAAAGCTGTAGAAAATTCCGCCGACCCTCGGAAAATGTAAAAGTCCGAAAATGCGCAAGGATATTTCGAGAGGCTCTCGAGAAGCGAAAGAAAAAAAAGAAGCTCGCGTCCTCCTAGCGCATTCCTTTACTCGCGCTCTTTGTCTCGTCCTCGCTTTGGAAAATCCTTCGAGCTGTACTTACCAGAGAATAGACACCTCTTCGCCTCTGAAGGTTTTTATGGATACTTACCACGAGTTTCTCTTGGTTTCTGATTCCGTTTGGGGGAAAAATTTCGAAAAGCATGGGTGACTGTGTGTTTTACTCACTGAGAGTTACCCTCGGCTTTTTCTTTGTCCTTAGCATCAGGAGCAGGGGAGAAAGTCGCGTTATTAATTTTGATTAATGAACCTTGGACGGTTGAAATTTTTGCCGCTAAACGAAGCGAGTTATTTTAATCGCTTCTGTATCACTTGTTACATCCAAGTGCAGGGTAAAAAAAAGTTTAATCTGGCCCAAAGCGACTGGGCATTGTTCATTAATAGCCTTTTTTCTTTCTTTCTTTTAACTTTCATTAGTTAAAAAAAAAAAAAACGCGAACGTCTTGTGCAATGCATTGAAAATTTACAGCACGTGATGTGACACCTTGGTTCATGATATCTTGAAAAATTAATCGAAAATCGCTGAACCGCGTTTCATAAAAGCCAAAGTACTAACAGATTGTTGATAGGTTGAAAAACGAGTTGGCTGTTCGCGAAATTTAGCCTTTTCACACATTCATCGCCTCGTGCACCCAAAACAAGAGTAAAATAAAAAATAATCGGTGAAAATTATGTGCAGTCACCGAGTGTCTAGCGATAAAGGACGACAGCCAAGGGGGGAACTCGTGAAGATCGACAAAAGAGGCTCTTTCGTTAAATGGGCAATGGGTACACGGGATAGGCGACAGCAGTTGGCAAACAAGGGCTACGAAAATAAAAGACGGTGTCTCGAGCGCACTTTGTATTTTTTTTTTTCGGGGTAGGTGTAGGATAGTCGTGGCACGTGTGTGCCAGTATATTACTGGGTGCACGTGACGATAAGTGCAAGTGTGACGATGATACGTACGTCCAATAGTGGTATACATCGAGAGGCTCATGTTGATGGTGCTTGGCGTGGGAGTTTTGTCCTACTTTGAAGCTCAACTTTTTTTCTTCTCCTTCTTTTTGTACACCATAAATAAATTTACAGAACTACGGATTTTCTATAACTCTTTGTCACGAAGGCCTGCAGTATCTAAAAAAAAAAAACTGCGCTCAGTCATTGTAGGTACAGATAAAAGTGGACGATATGTACGTACATCATGAATCAGCAGACAGGAATACCAGCTTGTATAAAAAATAGCGCATCATCCATGATAGCACAACAAATTCTTCCATTACTCACCATGTATACGTATATGGCTCGAAAAAAGGAAAACATATACACTCATGCCACTATACTAGCAACGATGAAGAAAAAAAAACACTTTCAGCTCGCAGCGTTTACTTTTTTACACGCCCAGGGGCATGAAAAAGAAAAAAAACTTCTCATGATCATTGATATATTAGCTCCATTTGGCGATTTCCTCTGTACACATTGTTATACGGGTGTGAATTCCCCTCTCGGACGAGAGAAGTGCGCATTGACTTATGGATTCACAACAGACCGGAAGTGAAAAGGAAAAAAAAAAAAAAAAAAAAAATACGCAGACGCAACGTGCGAGGAAGTCCAATGAACCCCGACGTCGTCCCCTTGTAAATAATCTACAGTATTAAATTTATTGCGAAAGTGCATCTTTTTCGTGTACATATACATATACGTATATCACACGTACACAAAAATACACGCTGGGAGCTCGACGACGCGCGCGCAAACGAGCTCCGTGAAAAGTTGATTGCTCGGCTATATACGAAGCGACGAGCGTACACATTCATGTTTTCGGCAAGTTTAATGGCAAAGTTAATTTTCACGGTCTCCGCGAGCGAGCACAGATGTGGTTTGTAAATATTGGGGCTTGCGTGTGTTGTTGAAGCGCGAAACGCGCAATCGTCGCGAATGAATCGAGCAATTAAACGTGACGACGAAAGGCACCTTCCTCCGCGCGATCGGCAGGAAAAATCGCGAAAGTGCAAACTATTCCCATCAGCGTATAAAGTTGTTCGAGAGCAGAAACGCGCGCAAAACCACTCGACTTGAAACGTCACGGTGCGTAACGAGAAGTATCTCACGCCAATTCTGTGTGTCTACGAGAGAAAAAAAAAAAAAAAAAAACATGAAAGGAGGAAACCTACACGTGTCAACATCCCTCCCTTTTCACTGTATCATCCGTAGCGTATCGATTGCTGCCACTCGCGTGTATCCATACCGTATAATCTTGGGCTTTTCTTTCGACACAGACAGTCGAAATTACCCGTCCGATATACCGATAAAAACCCCTCATGTGCGTATACACAACAGCCACGTGTCCGTCGTATTGTATGGCAGCGCGTCTCAGTCACGCCTGTCAATCAATGACCGAGCGACAAAAGTAAATAAGGGGACACGATGCAGGCAATTTTTCTAGTCTTTCATTTGACTCCTCTATTCGCCAGCACTTTGGATCAATTAAGTAAGTTGCTCCCATGTAGGTACGACGGGGCGTGACGTATATGTTATAGGTTTATTGCGTGTCTGTTTCGACTATGTGTTATTTGGTTGGTTTTATATTGGACATTTCATTAGCGGGACGGAGGTTTGGTCGATGTAGAGATTTGGGCGTATGGTGGGAATAAAATTGTTTCCTTTGGTCTGTCAACAGAGACACCTGGACAAAGGTGGCGACCTAGCGGAGGCGGCCTCGGCCTCGGGTCTGCGCGAGCTAGCGCGCTCCCTGAAGCACCACCTGCGCGGCTTCGGGGCCCGGCTCGAGGACAGGCGCGAGTACCTCGAGGACACGTCGCGATGCTGCCTCCTGCAGGACCGGGCGTACGAGTGGGCCCAGGAGGCTCGGGTGGTGGGGGAGCGCCGGGCCCAGCAGTTCCTGGCAGCGCGACCGCCCCTGCCGGCCGAGCACTTTGCCGAGATGATAGCCCTGGCCGAGAAACTCGGCAACGACGTGCTCCTCGAGCAGTGCAAGCTGGCCAAGGCCAAGTGCGTCGAGGCGCTGGAGATCGCGAGGTCGAGCTCGGCCCCCGGCAGTCCCGCGCGCAGGAGGAGCTCCGCCACCTCGGATCTCGCCAACTCCTGGGACGACTCGCTTACGAAGCGTGAGTAAACATTTAAAGGATTTTTTTTTTTTTTTTTTCCTTTCTTACGAAAATTTGGTTATATACATATACATATGCAACGATAATGAAACTCATAGCCATCACACGACCGTGAAAAAATGGACATGGAAAAAATTGTTTTTGTGTTTGCCGTTTGTTCGATTAAGTTCGCTTGACTCTTCTTTTTTTTTTTTTTTTTTTTTTTTTTACTCCTTGGGTATAAATAAAGATCGCTGTAAGTAACTTAAGCGAGTAAGAACAACTAATTGACCGAGCTTTATTTGAACTAGCTAATTTTATTCTCAACCGATAGATTTAGGCTGGTGTAGTTTCACCGGTAGGTGCGAAGATCTCGGTAGGGCCCCCACAAGCAAGGGGTTCGAGACGCGAAGTGTAATTAATGATAGCAAGGTGAGAGAGAACCCAAACATAATCAGCCGTCGAGTGCTGTGTAAAATGGCGTAACATGTATAAATAAAATAGAACCAAATATTCCATCAACAATAATTTTTTTAGACAAATTTATACTTTTTTTTATTTTTTTACACCTGACTTTGAAAAAGCACTGAGAATTGAGATGATCAATCGATTTTGCTTGGTTTGAATAATGGAAATTGCTGTGAGCGATTTACACGAGTGGGAAAAATTAATTGGTCGATCTTTAGTGCTCGTAACAGTAAAAGAATTAATTTTCCTAAAAAAAAACGACAATAATGAAGAAACACGTGTTTAGCGAATTGATTCAGTGAAAATCTTGAAAAGCAAAAATTTTCTTCCATATAGACAGAAGAGTGCCATTTTTGTTTAGAATTCGTACCGTAAAAGAAAATCTGAAAAGCTCTTGCGAACCCCCACCTCTTGTATATGTAGGTGCAAGCTGGGACGACAGCGACAGCAGCGGCGCGTCCTACGCCGGGCCCATGGACGGCGGCAGCAACAGCAACGGCTCGGGCCACGGTAGCGCCGGCCCCGGCAACGGGCGCGCCCTCCTGGACAACATCGCCGAGCTGCGCGAGAGCGCCGAACAGCTTCTCGACTGCTGCTCGCCACCGAGGACGCCCCCCAGGAGTCCCCAGCCCCAGCGCAGGCTCGTCAAGCCGCCCGTCAACTCGCACCTGCACCGCGCGCCCAGCATCGCGCCCGGCATGAAGGCCAAAAAGTTAGTCTTTCTTTTTTCTCTCTCTCTCTCTCTCTCCTCCTCACCAAGACGCCACCGACGAAATTTCATGGAGCTGTTGTTGCTCGCGTGCACATCCACACCTCTCAGTTGTATAAAAAAACGCAGCCAATGGAAAATTGATAATACGAGTGCGCTCGAGTGCGAGCGAGCGAAAACAAAAATGAATAAAAATAAATACACTTTGGCTGACCCACATGCATGGACAAGTGTGTACATTATGTACCATTATGATACACATTTGTCCGTCAACACTTTCTCTTTTAGAAAACATAATGTGTGTGTGTGTGTGTCTATGTTATACTTGTTCGTCGAGCAATATAATTTATGAGGTTTCGTTTGGCTGATGAATCGGGTAAAAGTTGTATGGTAATTTTATGCAGGATCGACTGACCGAAATAATAATAATAATAATGCGGTTTGTTCTTTTTTTTTTCTTTTTTTTTTTTCATTCTAGAACGATACTACTTATAATGAGGGAGATGATACAGACTGAGCGCGATTACGTGAAATCCCTCGAGTACATAATAGAGGTAAGAAGGTGCAGGACACCGTAATTTACAGTTACCAAAAATTGTATGCACGTGTAATATGTATTATGATAAAACCCAACTTCCAGAACTACATCCCGGAGTTGCTTCGCGAGGATATCCCTCAGTCGTTGCGGGGCCAGCGCAACGTAATCTTCGGCAACGTCGAAAAGATTTACGAGTTCCACAGCCAGTACTTCCTTAACGAGCTCGAGCAGTGCGAGCAGTCGCCGATGATGGTCGGCCAGTGCTTCCTACGCCATGTGAGTTATATTATACCGCGCTTGTGTTATCTATACGCCCGCGCGTCTATTTTTAGAACCGCGAGATAGCTATACCTTTTTTCCAAGCAATTGTAGATTTTTACACCATCAGTGGGGCGTTTTAACGACACACGCACTCGAGATTATTGTTTCCTCCAAAGCTTCGGCCGTTTCACAAAAGTTGTAGCATACGCGCGACCGATCGTTATTGTAATTTTATTTTCCAACACGTGTCCCGCAGAAAAAGAAGTTCTACCTGTACGCGCTGTACAACAAAAACAAGCCAAACTCGGATTCTCTGATGGCGGAGTACGGGACGGCCTTTTTCAAAGCCAAGCAGCTGGAACTGGGCGACAAAATGGACCTGGCCAGCTACCTCCTCAAGCCGGTCCAGCGCATGGGCAAGTACGCCCTGTTGCTCCAGCAGTTGGTCAAGGCGGGCACCGATCTGTCCGACCAGCTGTTGTCCACGGCCGCGGGCAAGTCGGACGACGCCAAGGACGAGAAGGACGGCGGCGTTGAGGCCCAGAGACCGATGGTCGAGGGCGAAGCTGAGCTGAGGTCCGCCGAGGAGATGGTGCGCTTCCAGCTAAGGCATGGCAACGACCTCCTCGCCATGGATTCGCTTCGCGACTGTGATGTTGGTGTCGTCCAATGCATCTATTTTTTTTTTCATCCGTACATAGTAAATGATAAAAGAAATAAAAATTGACCAATTTCACTTGTATTCAGGTGAACGTCAAGGAACAGGGTAGACTGCTGCGGCAAAACGAGTTCCTCGTTTGGCAGGGTAAGGGGAAAAAGTGCCTGCGCCAGGTGTTCCTCTTCGAGGACCTCATTCTGTTCAGCAAAGCTCGTCGGTTCCCCGATAGAAAGGTAGAAACGAAAACACGCTCTTTCTATTTCGCACCACCTCCCACGTGAGGTAGCTTATCGTGATCCTGTTACACGCGTGTTTCAGAACCTCGACATCTACATTTACAAGCACAGCATCAAGACGACGGACATCGGACTGACGGCCGTGATAGCCGACTCGCCCACGAAATTCGAGATCTGGTTCCGCAAGAGAAAACCCGGCGATACTTACACGCTGCAGTGCGCCAGCGAGGAAATCAAGAGGGCCTGGACCGAGGAGCTTAGCAATTTACTTTGGAAGCAGGCACTGAAAAACAGAGGTGACGTTTAATCGTACTTGGTATTTTTTTTTTTTTTTTTTTTTCTCTCTCTCCATTGCGTAATCAAAGAAAAGGTCTGACTGTGATATACTTGTGTTAAAACGTGCAGAAGTGCGCATGGCAGAAATGTCGAGCATGGGCATAGGGAACAAGCCGTGCCTGGACATACGGCCCAGTGCAGATCAGATAAACGATCGTTCCATCAGCGTGGCTCAGCTGTCCAAAAGTACGTACGACCACACATTTTTTCACTCTACCTAAGAAAAAAGAATTGAAAAAAAAAAAAAAACAACAACAACAACATAAACTACAAATCCTGATTTTTCGCCAGCAGCTCCAAGGTTCAGGAACTCGATAGCGGTCTCGAGCACCGAGGACTCGGGTCGCTGCAACAGGCGGCCGCACAGCGTCATATCCGTGAGCTCGTCGTCGAGTAGCGGAGGCAGCAGCGGGCCCCCGACTACTCTCAATTTGGGCCTGGACACCAGTCCACGGCTCCACCACCGAAGCACCACGCTCAACAGTCAATGCAGCGTCGGTGAGTTGTTGATTATACTTTTACCCAACACCGATTGTTTGTTTTCTTTGTAAGAGAAAAAATAAAAAAAAAAATGCCGATGGACATGATTATTTGTGTTTTCAGAGAGCGGCATAATCGCCGACATCTCGATAGTGTCGGACGATGGTGGCGAGGGTGGTGGCGATCGGGGACTCCATCATCTCCATCATCACCACCACCATCACTGGAACACGAGCCTGGACTCGCCGACGTCGCAGCTACCGCCTACCGGTCACTCGACGCCGCAACTCCAGTCACCGGCTTCCGGGGCGACGAGCGGTCTCGCCTCCTCAGTTACCTCGCCCTCCTCCTCGGAGGCTAACCTCGCGCCCTACGACCAGGACGTGTCCGTCAATCTCTGAGACGAGGACGAGGACGCAGCAGCAGAACTTTATCGCTGTCAGGAGTGAAGATGTGTTTGAAAGTTTTTTTTTTTTTTTT